TTCCTTCCTTCCTTCCTTCCTTCCTTCCTTCCTTCCTTCCTTCCTTCTTTCCTTTCCCTTCCTCCCTCTCCCCTTCCCGCCCTCCCCTCTTTATCTTTTTCTTGTTTGCTTTTGTGTGGATATGTGCAGATAAGTGCAGGTGCCTGTGGAGTCCTGAGGGTCTCCTGGAGCTGAGGTTGTATGTCCTTGTGAGATGGCTGACATGGGTGCTGGGAACAGAACTCTGGTCTTTTACAAGAGCAGTTCTTGCTGTGAACCACTGAACCATTATTTGAGCTGCTTCTTCGCACACACTGCATTTAATTAGGTTGTTTGCATGAGCATGGATCAGGGGTTGTTTACTTGAACAACTAAGCTTTCCCAGTGTCTGTCCTGCTGAGGAATATGACTTCTCATCCGACAGTAACCTTTAGCTTTCATAGCGCCTCAGAGAGGGTGGCCCATGAGCCCTTCCTTTGTCCACGCAGCTCTCCTGCAGATAGCCTCTGCTTCTGTAAATTTGTGGTGGTCCAGCCATGGTGCCTCAAGCACTCAAGCGTCTCCAGCACTTCTTCCATCCTCCAGCTTACGCTCTTCAGCCCACTCTTTGCCAGTGTTTGCTAAGCTTCTGAGTGGTAATACAGACGTTTCTTTAAGGAGTCACCAGTTATGGGTTCGTCTCTCAACTGGTGCATTCTGCAAACTGAAGTTTCTCTGACCCAGTTTAGTAGCATAGTAATCTATGTGCATAATTACAAATATTTAGAAAGTTATTTGACAACCTTCCATTTGGAAAAACAATAGTACTATGTTCCTTTGTCTAGTTCCCATGACCTTTAGTCCACAAACTTTTGACCAGGTTTATTATACCAGACGTGAATTCTTTTGTGTGGGCCTGTCCTCAGATCCAAGCAGAAAATGATTGTTCATTCCAGTAACGGTTAGGCTACTTACTGTCGCACCCATGAGCTCCTGTGACCTGGCAGGCTGGTGCTGTTACCTGCAGGGTTCTCAGCTTTAGGATATGTACTGGCTTTCCCCCTCAGCAGCAGGGATGGCACCTTCTGACCTCCGGAAAGCCGCCGGCAGGGAGAAAGCTCCCAGCTCAAGTGTGACTTGGTTTTTCTGTGTCCTGTGACCAACGTGTGTAGAGGGAGGCTTAGCAGCAGTTACCATGTGGCTGCTGTGTGCGGCCAGCAGTGGGCAGTGCCCTGTTCATGGCGGTCGACGTCAAATGACCAGTTGGAGATTGTGTCCCGTCAGGTCTTTGCCTGTCCCTCACTTCCTACGTGTCTAATGTTGCCTTAGAATTAGATCACACTAGCATACGGCAGAAATGCCGCAGAGGAGGCGGCTCCTTCCTCTCATCCTGTCCATGGCCTCGCTGTGGTTTTGCCGTATTACCGGTGCAGCTTGCTCTGGTCGGTGACTGCAATGGTGTGCACCAGGTCTCGACTATTATGGGATTCCTGTGAACAGAGTCTGTGAAATCCCATCTGGAGCAGATTTCCTGTTCACTGATTTGTGGACGTAAGGTTTTCTGTTTTAGTTGGTGGCTTCTGATATTAGAAGCTTCTCCATATTAGACTGTGCAATAACAGATTTTTCTGTTGGGTTAGCTTTTGTCCTCTATTTTTCCATTTTTGTGAATAGTTTGTACTGTGGCACCCACGCTAGCTCCAGACTCCTCAGGTCACACGATTGTTCGCCACAGATCTGTGAACCCGTGAACTAGTCCTTCTGACCTGGGCAAGGCTGGGTTTTGAGTGGCTAAATACTTTAATTGGCTGTGTCTTATTAATATAGTTAAAATGATTTTTAAATAAATGACCCAAATTTTTTATTTTGACATTTATTTTCTTTTTAATAATTTTGAAATTAAATCTCTTTTCTCAATACCTTAAGTGAGATTATGTATTTACTTAGGGAATACTGCTTAGGTACTGCACTTTAAAAGGTTTGTTAAAGTAAGAAAAAACCAGTGCTTTTGGTGGTAGCTTTTTTCTGGACGTTCTGTGGAACTTAACTTGTCTGGTATGCATTTGACATATTGTCTGATGGAGTACAAACTGTTCTCTCTCTCCCTGTCTTTTCTCTTAGCAAGAGACACCTTTTGAAAGACTTTTTGGTTTCAGCTCTAAGCCGATGGAGTGTCTTTGGGACTTTGAAAGCACCCCTCTGATCATGTATTTATCTCAGGAATGCTGTGCCAGAAATCAGAGCTCTCCTCATATCTTAAGAATTATCAGCTCCCAAGCAGTTGCTGGGAAGTTTAGAGTAACAGCTCCATGAGTGAACCTTGCTGAAAGGCTGCCTGCTCCAGTCTCTTTAAAAGGGAGGGTGCTGGTGCGCATTCCCATGCCAAGATTCCTGCTCTTATCTCATCTGAAGATCCTCCCTGGCGATTAATGGGTGCCAGGGATTTATCTTGATAAAGTTCAAGGGCTGCTCTGTGTTTTCAAATGAATTTTTAGGGACTAAAGAACTCAGTTAAAGTAGTTTTTTCTTTTTCGTTAGTGAACCATTTCCATGTTAAATAAAACAGTAATGTGAAGGTTTGTGATATTTTGAACTGATACTATTTTGAAATGAAAGTTGTAAAACTTTTTATTTGTGCTTATTACTAATTGAGAGAACTGTGAAACTCCCTAGTTTAGGAAAAATGACAAGAAAACAAATGTGTTTTCACTTGATATGAGCGTGTCTATAAAAAGTACTTAAAATCTGTACAATGGAAAATTGCTAAGTATTCTAAATACTTGGTAATGTTAGGGAGTTCATAAAGAAAGCCTATAAGCAGAACTTTCACGTTAATACCTGTGTTTTAATTGATATTTTGAAAAGCAAGCTGGTTATCTGCCTTCTACATTCTTTATGACAGAAAGGGAAGTACTTCAGTTAAAACTGACATTATTCAAAATTCAGATGACTACTTGTGTCCTAAGCATTAGGACAGATTTTGAGTTTATGTTTTAAGTGGAAACTTAGAGCTTAAGGTGTAGTTCATACGTGGGGCTTGCTCAGTTTGTGCAAGGTCACGGCTTGAAAACCCAGCACAAGAGGAAAGCAGTGAGCTGGGGATGGAAGAGTAAAACAAAATAAAATAAAACAAAAACCTCAGGCATGTTGCATTTTCTTTGTTTCTTTTACCAAAGAGAATACAAACTGCTCTGTTCTTGTATAGGTAATTCTGAAAGGTGGTTAAGTTTAAATTTTTAGTTTTCTTCAGAATGTAGGACATGCTTACTCAGTTTAGATTTGTATCTCCAGGATGAGCATAATGGGCTAAGCATCTCTTCTGCTGAAGCTTTTAGTCTGTGCAGTGAGAGCTTACTGTGGTAATAAAACGAGAATATCCCATGTATGCATACTGTTTACTGCATTTTTAATTAGGTCACGTGACTTTGGCTCTCAAGTCCATCTGGCCCAGAGCTGTAGCAGCATTATGTTACATCTTAGAACTGATTTGAATCAGGGTGTGGATTTAGAAATTATTAATTTTATTTTTGTGTGTAGTAATTAATAGTTAGAATAAACAGCAGGGGAGAAAACATGAACACGAAGGTGGTTTTCCGGGGCCGGTTCTGTCCATTGCGCTCCAGATGTGCTGACCCCTGGCACTTCCCCCAGTGTGGGGAAGTCGTGACGGGCGAGCTTCCCGCTCTCCCCTATCAAGATTGAAATAAAGCCTCATTTTCCTGCCTGTTATCCGATATAGTTTTGTAAGTTAATGGTAGTATATGCATAATTTTTATCTTGAAAGCCATTTATGTGATCTGTGTAGATGAGCATAATATAGACATTTGAGAGTTAGTATAACTATGATAGCTGGAGAAGTTAGCATACTGAAGATCATTTCATTCTATGCTTTTTGTGCATGAGTTAGACGGTGTGTGAATTATCGTTTAATACAGCTTTAAGAACAGTTCATTGTGAGGTAATGGCTGAAATCACAGTCTGATTTTCGGCATATGCAGATTTGTGGTGCATTCCGAAATTTATTTAGACGAATTATTTCACCTTTCTGGGCTTGCCTTAAGGAATTAAGAAATGTTTTCAAGAGGTGTTTGGTGGCACCTGTCTGTAATCTTGGGACTTGTGAAGGTGAGGACAAGACGGTACAGCAGCAGGAAGTCAGGGGTCTGGCTCTGGCTACCTTTTGTGTTTTCTCCTCCAGTTATACCTTAATGCTGTTTTTCAAATTGAGCTATAAATTTTTGAGAATATGTGCCAAACTGTGGGCAATAAATATTTACTGAACTGAATAAAAGAATATGCCATTTTCACTACTGAAAGTAATATTGACAGCGTGGTAAGTGTTTGAAAACGAGATCAAGATTTTGTTGGTTTGAGCAGTGTGGGCAGGTAAGGGTTGTACGTGACAAGGAACAAGTATGATGAGCTTTGACCATATGGACTTGTATGATGCAGAACGTCAGTCAGGAGCCCCCTTCCCGCCCGAGCCTGTCTCTGTCCCTAGAGGCAATTTTAACAAAACCAGTTTTTAGTTTGCCGTCTCCAAAGCTTTTTAAGTAAAAAAAGTAAAGAGTATGTTCTTGAACATAGATTTTTAATTTAACGTAATATCTTTGAGATTCCTTCATGCTGCTGATCTGTGTCGTATTGTTACATGACAATTCTATGTAAGTTCTCACCCTTTCAAAACTTTGCTTTTCTGCATGAAGGACATTTGAGCAATTTCCAGTTTTATCCAGTGACTCTAAAGAATTTGCAAGCATAATTGTATTATTGCATACTTATATTTTCTTGGGCAAAGTTGGGTCATAGGGTAAATGTATGCCTAAATTTTCTTTATAGAAATAGATTTTTTTTTTTCACTGATGTGGATTAAACAACAGACCTCAGACATATTAGACAAAGTGCTTGCTGTACCACGGCCTGCCTACAATTCACTAATCTAAATGTTCTTCTCCCATCAGTGCATATCTGTGTGTGCACAAAACAAGTTGTGGTGGTTCTTTAGTGGGCAAATATGAAAGTGAATTATTAATATTTATCATTTCCCCCTAATTGTTAGAGCAGAGAAAATCTTCTTTCATGTTAGCATTTTAATTTCTGGCAAGAGTAGGAAATGCAAGCACATATTATATTTGCGTTGTTTTCTGAGGGCACCACCAGCACATGTGTGTTTCCATGTGTGTGCACACATACGAGGCCGCATGTGCGTTAAGTCAGTGATCTTCATCTGGCACAAGCTGCCATGATTTAAGCACACCATTTTGGATTGGGGGCTCAGGTGGCTGTTGCTTCTATTTTTTAGTATATAGTTAACATTGGCAGTCACCCCTATAATGATGTGACACCAGCTACCCCAAGTACATTGAATAATCCTTGCCCAGCACAAGACAACAGTGTTTGCCAGGAATGATAGCCACTGGAGTAAAACGGAACCTATTTCACTTTGTTCTTCTTCTAACAACAGAAGTATATTTTTACAATAAGGGAATTACATGCTTTAGAGAATATGGATACATTCATTAGGATAAAGTACCTGAGTAACTTTGTTTAAAAAGCAAATACTTTAAGGCTATTAAGGGAATACTTTCAGCTTACAGTATTGTCAACGAAAGATGTGATTAGATAAATTGAATGTTGAAGACTTTAAGCTTATGGTTAATACCAGGTAATTAAAAGTAAGAGCTGCTGCGGGAGTACATTATATATCAGCTGTCCTTTTACCTCATTAACTGGGGCTTTGCATGTTTATGGAGCTAGCTTCAATTAAAATGCCTTTTAAGTTATGTCTAACAAGGTGTTTTAGTTAGTCTCTTAGTATAAAGTATTGCACTTTAATTGAAATTGGTATATCATAAATAAATTGGTATATCAATTGGTTATTTGGTACTTTTGCTGTTTTAAAAAATTTTCTATTGTTTTCTATGTGATATACTCAAAAAGTATTGTTTTATGTGCTATATACATGTATCCATGACTTATGTAGATACTGTTTTATCTTTTAAGATAGTTAAGGTTGTATGATTTCTAGTTAGCAGTGCTTTAGAATCATTATTGAAACATACTAAGTTCTCTGCATCAGTTGTGAGAGTAAAAAAAAAAAAGTAATTTCTTGTTTTCTTCAATTCCAAAGTTCTTTCTACCCGCTTCCAAATTCTCTTTTGTTATGCTTACTAGAAAATTCAGGATGATTAGTTTAAAAAATTCTAATATAAATGTTGGTTAAGACTATAAAGTCGATTCTTTTCCTGGGACATTGTCTTAGTTTTAAAAATAATGAGGATGAGGAGGCCTGCTGTTAGTACAGAGTTTGCTATGGGAGCCAGAGGACCTGGGTGGGTGTGAGCCTCTTAAACAATGTTTTCAAGAGCTGTATGTGTTGGAGGAAGGGTCGAAGGGGGTCAGAAAGATGGTTCAGAGGTTAAGACCACTGGATGCTTTTCCAGAGATTCTGGGTTGGATTTCCATCATCCACACTGTGGCACAACTGTCTGTGACTCCAGTTCCGGGGACCAAGTGCCCACTTCTGGCTGCTGTGGGTATCAGCCACACATACAGTACACAGGCATATGTACAGGCTAAAGACAAACAACCTACCTGTGAAGTGATGCTGTGAGTCCACCCCTGGGAAGAGAGTCAGGTGATGCCACCAATCAGCCAGCCCAGCCTAGTGAGAGACCCGTTCTCAAAAACAAGGTGCTTGATGCCTGAGGATGGCAGCCAAGGTTGTGCTTTGGCTGTGCTTGCTGGCTCCCCTCCCTCCCTCCCTCCCTCCCTCCCTCCCTCCCTCCCTCCCTCCCTCCTTCTCTCCCTTTCTCCCTTCCTTTCTCCTCCTCCCTCCCTCCCTCCCTTTCTCCCTCCCTCCTTCTCTCCCTCTCTCCCTTCCTTTCTCCTTCTCCCTCCCTCCCTCCCTCTCTCCCTCCCTCCCTCCCTCCCTCTCTAAAAGAGAAAAAGGTATATAAATATAGACAGCATTGAAGAGATTTTAAGTTTTAAGAATATTTCAAAAAATACATCAAGATATGGTAGGAAAGAAAATGAAAATTAGCTCTTTTTGTTTTGAAATGCATGTAATTAATGTAACTTATATGAATTTTTTTTTTTTTTACAGAAGTGTCATCATTGCAACAAAAAAATCAGCAGTCTTACCTTCCACCCTTAACACAAGTGCACCCGCCCACGCTGTCAGTGTAGTTTCGTCAGGAGATTCCACCCAAGCCTCAGATGTCGGGGGAGAGTCTCCAGGTGAGCTAGGTGGCAACAATGTCCACAGAAGTTTTAGATCCTTGTTCAAAAAATCTGAGGATTTTCTGATAAAAACAAGAACTTTGTAAGATGCTTTAGAAATCTTTGTGCTTTTTTGTGTTTTACTGTTGGTTGTTTACTAATGTCCTTCTGTTAACAAAACCACTATTGATTATTTGCTAATATCTGTGCTGTGTTTGTGCCCTGGAGCTACTCTTCCACCTGGAATCCTGACTCCACAAAAAGTTCTTTCTTCTATTCAGTGATTGAAACTGGTAGATTGGGTGCACATCTTGACTGAGGTTTTTTGCCATTTAAAATAAGATATTCAAATAAGTAAATGAACAAACATTGAATTATATTTTTTTCTCTTGTTTTTAGTAGAATTTGGGAAAATGATTTATGGATGAACTGATTATTGTTACCATATTCTAAGCAGAGCAGTTCGTTTTCTCTCTCTCTCTTATCCTCTCTATCCCCTCCTTCCTGTTCTCTGTCCAACATGTTGCTGTGCAGCCCAGGTTGAGCTAAGATGCCTTAATGCAGTATAGGCCAACTGTAGACCTGAGTGTACCCTCTCCTTTACCTCCTGAGTTCTGGACTGGCTGTGTGCACAGCCACACCTGCCTGGCTTTGGGTTGTTATTCGATGTGTAAATTTATAGTTAATCACATCCTCTTGGGACTTCACCCTGCCACCTTTGTATGACTTAATTTTGTAGTGAGAGAGAAACCACAACAAGAAAAAGCACTGCTCAAATTCAGGAATACGATATTGGCTAATAAAGAGTTGTTTGACATACAATACATAGATACAAATAGGAATTGAAAGAAACTATAGAAACATAAAATGCACAATATGAGTTTATAGCAAGAAGGTTTAAAATATTTGGAACTTTTAATATAAAAAGACCGTCTAAAGTTTATATGTAGTATGCTCAAAGAATAGCTAAGACTGGATAGATTGACCCAGAAGTGGAATTAAAGTTTGTTCAGGTTTTCCTTTTGAAATATTACCATTATAATAATTTTGTAATTTAGCTTAAAAATGGCAGTTTTCATGTTTATATTTTATAGCCATATGTTATTAAATATAAATTCAACTTTTTAGTATTGAGATTTAAAATTTTGCTCGGAATATTTATACCTTAGCCTCTCTAGATTTTTTCTGTGTCAACACTGGCAACTTTTTCTTTTTCCTTTTGGTTTTCCAGACAAGGTTTCTATGTGTAACAGAGTTCTGGCTGTCTTGGAACTAGTTCTGTAGACCAGGCTGGCCTCAAACTCACAACAGATCTACCTGCCTCTGCTTCCTGAGTACTGGGATTAAAGGCATGCACCACCACTGCCTGGCTGCAACATCTCTTCAAGAGAGGTACAAGATAAGCATCAGAAGAGAAGATGTCCAACCCTTTTGTTTTCCAAGAAAGTAAAAGAGGAAACTAAGTTTAAGTAACTGTTTAAAAATCTGGAAAATTTAAAGTTATTCATCAGCAAATATTTAATTGCTGTATTATAATGTGTTGTATGTTAATATGCAGTATTCTTAAAATATGCTATCATATTTTTCTATGGTGTTGCAATGTATAAATAATGAAACAGAATTGAAACTAATTTAGCAGTGGAACCAAGTACAATATTCTTCAGTAATTTGTATACTGAGTGCTTACTAATTCGCAAAATGTAGCATCAGTCTTTGTTGTATAGAACATTACGATGACAAGGTTTCTCCTTGTTTGGTCAATAGAAAAAGCTCTATTTCTTTTGGGTGGATTTTTATTGGGTGTATAGACTGTCCTTTGCAGAGAGACAAATTGTGAAGCGCACACGTCCACGCGAGTCACGCGTATGCAGGTGCAGCACAGCAGTGCTCAGTGGTGAGCACTTGCCACTTGATTTGATGGCTCTTTATTGCGTCAGGTACTTAGATCCTTAGGGAACTTGACAATACTTCACTCCCTGCGTGGGTGCTAGATGAAGGGTGCGTTTACAGATGTCTGGAAAGCGTCTGAAGGAGCCATGTTGTCAGACAAGGAGAGCACAGGTCTCTGCCTTCTACATGGTGGCAGCAGCCTGTGCCTCTCCGTGTGTGATTATCTGCTGGGAATGTTTAATGTTAATCTGAAACAAATCTATCATGAATTTATGTTTCAGTTAAATGTACAATTACATATTTTTCTGATGGCCTGAAGGACACAGTCATGTGATATTATTGGTATAAGTAGTTCTTCATCTGATTCAATTTTCTATTTCTTTTTAATATTGCTGGCTATTTTTAATCATTGTTGTGCAAGTGTCCTGTGACTAAAATATTTGTTTTTATTTCTATATGTATCTGTGTGTGTAGGCCAGGTATGATGTGTTTGGTCCTTGTGGGGACCAGAAGAGAGTGCCAAAGCCCTGGAAGCAGGGTCAGGTGGGGCTGCAGGTGTAGACGAGGCCGATGCTGGGACCCAGACTTGGGGGTCATCTAGAAGCAAGTGCTCTTGACTGTTGAGCCATCTTTTGAGCTCCAAGTTCTGTGAATCAAAAGAACATTTTCTAAATTCTCTTTTGTTCTTTTTACTTTTAGGAATGAAAATTGGCCTTTTTTTCCCCCAAGGGCAGTGTTAGGAAATAATTTTTGTCATTGTTTTGTTTGGAACAAATAATATTCCTATTCTTAAAAATAAAATTCTGCAGCCAGGCCACACTTTAATCACAGAACTTGGGAGGCAGAGCCAGGTGGATCTCTGTGAGTTTGAGGCCAGCCTGGTCTACGAAGTGAGTTTCAGGAGGCCAGGACTACATAGAGAAATCCTGTCTCATAAAGACAAAACAAAACAAACAAAAAAGATTTATGTGTATGAGTGTTAAAAAGAAAGAATGTAGGGAGATAATTCTGCTTATTGTTAAGGACCAAGAAACAGCGTGCGAAGGCCCTCACATGGGAGTGAGCTTCACGGTGTGGTCTGAAGGGAAGGATGCAGCAACACAGTATTATGCTGAGTGACCTGTAGCTTCATGTACGTGTAGCTGTGGGCAGATCGCCTTCTCCTCACACGGTGGCTGTGACAGAAGGAGGTGCGTCTCAGTTTAATCAGCCCCCCACACGGTGGCTGTGACAGAGTGGAGGTGCGTCTCAGTTATGAGCCCCCAGAGCAAGGCAGACAGGAGGCTGTGCTCCACATGGAGCGTGGTTGTGCTGGCGGTGGCTGGGCACAGTCCTGCCAGACCCAGCCGGCAGACACAATGAGGGGCTTCCCAGTGCAAGGCAATACGAACCTGCTGAGTGATTTTCAGGTCTCCTGGCTGTGCTCACTAAGGCTTTGACTTTTGCATTCACGTATTTTGAAGGGCTGTCTGATCCCCCACAGCACCCATTCAGCAGTGATAGCACTGTAGTGCTTGCTCCTCCTCACCATTAGCTGGCACACTGACTGTGTACACCCGCAGGCTGCCCTAGCAGAAAGGAAACAAACAAATGGCTCTTCTTTGTGGGCATCCCAAGTTCAACTGAACCCAGATTCCAACTGTTGGAGAAATCACATTTGGAGCCAGGTGGAGCAGCTCTGCCTTGCAAGCAGGAAGCCTCCAGTAAGCCAGAGAGGCAGATCCTGTCTCATTTGTAAAAAATGTATTTCAGCTCATCAGAATTAGAATCAGAGCTGGGGGACAATCTTGGGTTCAGTCCTTAGCATCACACTTTAAAAACAGGACCAAGGGGTTTTGATGGCACACACCGTTAATCCCGGCACTTGGGAGGCAAAGACAGAGGCAGGCGGATCTCTGAGTTTAAGGCCAGTCTGATCCACAGAGCAAGTTTGAGGACAGCCAGAGATCCTCAAAGAAACCCTGTGTGGAAAAAACCCCACAAACCACCACTACCACCATCACCACCAAACTAAAGTAAGTAAACAAATTAACAAACAGGGTCAATTAACACAGTCAGAAGCTAATCTTGCTGTATAGTTTTTGCCTAAATATTTTTTTTTGATTTGTTACTTACATTTTAGATAGGTACTTCTGTCTTTCTCTTTATCAGTGTCATAAACATTTAGGAATAACAGTGAATTTTAGCAAAAACAGCTGATGCATTCAAAGGATGTAGTCTTTAAAATTCTGCCACCTATCAAACGATGCTGAAGAATACTAAAGTACATTATTTATAATATCTCACTTGTAGCACAGGCTGGCCTTCAGCTTGTAATCCTCCTGCTTCAGGCTCCAAAGTATTGGGATTACAGGCATATGCCTCTACACCCTATCTTGAGAAATGTTTTATTAATCACTTGTAACAGAATTCAGGGGCCAGCAGTAGTTCAGGAACCAGTTTTCCTGTGAGGAAGGTAGCTGGTGGGGATAGGGATGCATTTGCCTGTAGACTCCCACTTAGCTTGTGTGAGGAAGGGAGCTCATCTGGGTACAGGAGGCCGAGACAGAGGCTCTCCAGAGGGAGGACTGCTGTCTTTCCCAGCTCGCTATGCGGCCTGACCTCGTGGAAAGTGTTTGTTAGTGTGTTCTAACTGGATGCAGCCATGACTCTTGGCGGGCGAGTTGGTTTGAGCCTGTGCAGTGTTGGGGAAAGCACACAGTGGGGTCTGTGGCTCACCAGTCTCAGGTTTATGCTAGGATGAGAGGTTGGGCTCAGGGCCTCGTAGGAGAAGGGAACGGAGCTTCTAGGTTAAAAGCCCTGAGAAGTGAAAGTCACAGTGTTTTGCTCTGGTCAGCTACTGTAATGATACCTGGAAGAAGAGAAAACTTAGGCCACAGTTATCACTCATAAAGAAATGGTTGTCTTTTGTATGGCTTGGGCTGTTTGATTATTTTATTTCTTTGGGCGGAGTTTGTGTTTTTGTTTGTGTTTTGACATGATTGCACAGCGGTGTTGATTTCTATATAGATCTCTCATGGTCACAGGGTGCCTGTGCTCAGAAACTGTTTACCCTGAACAAGAGAATGTACTCACTAGCTGTGATGTCAGTGCACCCTTAACAACACGGCGAGGCTCACAGAAGCAGGCTAGCCCCTGATGCTGGAGGCTCTTCCTTTCTCATTGTTTTAGCCACTTCCTCTACGTCTTAGACAGGCCTTTATTATTTATTCTTCTGTTGGTTTTCTGGTGATACCAGTTTTGTCCTGTAGGGATACTGAAGCCTGAGGTTTGAGAAGCAGATCACACATATTCACCTTCTGATAGTGCATAGATTTCAGAGTTCTGTTTCTCAGCTGTGTGTGTGTATGTGTTTTGTAAGGCCTCATGTGCGTGCTAATTTTTTTGGTCTATCCTTGTGAAGGGTTCTGCTGGACTTTTGTCTCTGTTTACCCTCACACTGGCCTGGCACCTTGTAGGTTGCCATCTTTAGGAGTGGAGACTTGGCAAATGGCCTGCCACTGTCGGCAGTGTGCCCACCTGCACTTGGCCACCTCTCTTCTCAGTGCCATGCTGACTGGCTCATGCCGTGCATTCCCTCCTCGTGCTGGCTACATAGCAATGACTCTCTTGTTTCCATTCCAGATTGACTGACAGTTTAATCCTGTATATTTTGATTCTTACGCAGAAACTTTTTTTTTTTCTTTTACTTTCTTGAGAGTTTTAAGATTCTTCATACCTCAGAATTACTTTTCCAGCTTAGTCTTTTGGACTTAGTTCTTCATGTCTTGCCATTATGCGTTTTGGTTCCTATCCATTTTTAGCTCTGTCAGGATAGTTTCCCTGCATATTCTCTTCTCAGGTAAAATTTATGAGCAGTTACTTCTTGATAATGTAAAGACAATGACTTTTGCTTAGGATAAAACATTTTGAACACTTTATACAATAAAAGGATTGAATTGGTTGTTAACAGTATTAAGATGTAAGCATTTAAGATTATATAGGAACATAACTGAAAAGATTGGACACACACTAGAATAAAATGATAGGAAAGAGAAGGATGGTGAGAAAATTGTCATGTTCAAGTCCAGGAGTTGGGATGATTAGGGGAGTTCTATCTGTGGTTACATTAAAGAAGCTCTTCAATTACACGTGGCGACTCTCCAGCTGCTAGAGGTAGGGATTGGGAGGGTGAGGGCTCTGCTCTTTAAAAGGTGGGGTGTGAGAGCCAGAAATAGCTTAAAGTGTCCGTGGGAGCCAGACATGGCGGTGCACAGCTGCAACCTGCATTTGTAGGGTGGGCTGCATGTGCTAGGTCAGAGGCTTGGGGTTATTCCCGGCTACACTCTATGCTTGCAGACAGCCAGAGCCACATGAGCCCTGTTTAGGAAAATCAGCTGGAAAAGAGGAGGCAGGGCTGGCGCATGCAGTGCACACCATGGCCTCTTGCTGTCCTCCCTGTCAGTGTCCTAGAGGCTGGGGAACAGGCTACATCCCACCTTCTCCTTGCCCAGCGGGCGTGCCCTGCTGTCCTCCAGTGTGGCTTTGCCACCAAGTGTGAGCTCCTCATAAAGGTCCGTGCCTTTGCCGCTATCTCATACTCTGTGGTGCTGGGGAGAAAGCATCAATTGAAGTAAGTGTTCTCAACACAAGTCCTGTTGCAGTTATAATGAAGACTCATGAGGAAGTGCAGATGGCCCTGAAATAATGTAGAATTGTTCCTCGCCTGTTCGTGGATGGCCTGCTATGCTAGACTCTGGGTAAAAGGTTAGGCTCTTGGTGATAGTGTTACAGCTGTTTACAGCTAAATCCGGGACTCTATCTTCTGTGTTACCTCAGTGAAAAGAGAGCTTCTGCTTGTTCCTTTGTTTCTGCTGCTGCTAAATAAAGGGAATTCTGAAGCTTACTCAGTGGATCAGACTTTATCCTTCTTGTCTGCTTCTTTTATACGTTCGGAGGAGGATTGCCTAGCAGACTGACCTTATGAAGAGCTCTACATTTAAATAAAAACTTTAGTTTTTGGGCTTTATCTAACGAGTGAGCCGTGTTTAAAAATGCACTGTAATACACGTTGGGCTGCTGAAAGGAGATCCAGAAAATTACTCTCAAATTCTTATTTTTTTCTTTTACAGGAAGTAGGTCATCTAATGCAAAATTGCCCTCAGTGCCAGCGGTTGGCTCTGTTCCACAAGACCCAGTTGCGCACATGAGGTATTTAAACTCTCACTTGGATTCTGAAAGTTTTGTTTTTCATGACCTACCCTCTCCTTCTTCCCCATATACTTTAGATTTATTTCAAACTATCATGTTGTAGAATGTTTATGAAGATTATCTATTTGTAGTAAAAATGCGACATATATGACACAGTTTTATGAGCTTATGATGTATATTTCAGATAAGTGTAAGTTGCTAGGACTGCATTGTTCTTTTTCTTCAGAAGTGTTTAAGTAGTGCTATCTAGCCATGGCCACATTAATACTGTATCCTATATGGAGTTTTATTTACAGTTTTAATTTGGAATGTGTGTTTAAAAGTTTACTTTTAAAGTTTATACTTATTTCAACCACAGTATTCCAAGTAGGCAGAGAATCCTTGGTTTTTGTTAGTGCAGCTGCCAAGCCCTGTCTCCACAGGGCAGCCGGCACGTCTGGAAGGGTGTGTGTTGTGGAATCACAGAGGCTTGGATGGTTCTGTGAGGCGGGGTACCTGGGAGGAGGTGTGTGGAGAGCAGTCTTTGAGGAGTTGTCTGATATTCTCAGTAGGAGGGCTCTGTTGGTAATGGAAGTGGGGTACCATTGTGAGCCTGCTGCTGACGGTTTGCTGTGGAAGCTCTGGCTGCTCAGGCTTTAGGTAGCAAGTTATTGGACATGATACTGCATCTTTTGGCCATTTTCATTTTTATGAAAGTGGATTTCACTTTAGACACTATGGAGCTGCTAACTGTCAATATCTCTCTGTTAGCATCACAGAACGGCTGGAGCATGCACTGGAGAAAGCGGCTCCTCTGCTACGAGAGATTTTTGTGGACTTTGCGCCTTTCCTTTCTCGGACCCTTTTGGGTAGTCACGGACAAGAGCTGCTTATAGAAGGAACAAGTAGGTGCTTTTTCTTTATTCTGTTTGTATTTACATGAAAGTTATTTGCATGACTAAGAATGTTTGCATCTTCTTGAACACTTTGAGCATTGGCAAGGCCCTCATGTAGGTTTGCGTCTTTTGAAGACTTTATCACAAACTATAAGTATGTATCTGTAAATATATATTTATATACATATAAATAAATAAATATATAAATATATATTTATAAATATACAATAAATAAAATATAAATAAATATATTTATATAAATAAATTATATATATATATATATATATATATATATATATATATATATATATATATAATCTTTTGAGACAGAACCTCTCTGTGTAACTCTGGCTATCCTGGAACTGTATAGGAGGCTAACCTTGAACTCACACCTGCCTCTGCCACCCAAGTTCCGGGATTAAAGGCATGCACTACCACACCTAGCTACCTTGTTATGGTGTTAATCCTTTTATTTTTTTTTTTAACCAGTAGTTTGGATGAAGCACAAAAGTGCTATGCCAGAGTTGTAGCGTTTGTTTTTCTAGTGATGGAGATTGAACCCAAGATCTTGAACATGCTACACACATGCTTTATTGTTTTCATTCTTAGATCAATACTGTTTAGTACATTAAGTTAACGATGTATAGATTAGGGAGTAATTATGGTGTAACCAGGTGTTACCTGAACTTAAGATCCATAGAATCAACCATATTTTACCACATATAAAAATGTGGAATGTGTTATTGTTTTCTGCTGACATCTAGGTCTCTTAGGTAGGCACTTTATAAATGCAGAGAAGACTGGCGAGGGGAACAGTGACTGGCGTTTTATAGGATGTGTGAACCATAGAAGGTTTTTTCTTTGTTTTGTTTCCTTTTTTTTTTT